CTGTTTTACTTTTGACTTTGTGTAAAGCACACAATGGGAGTCTATGCAGTTAGTATGTACTCTAAACTCTCTAATTTAGGTATAGGAAAGAGTAAAAGGACGAACTGCTGAAACATGTACAGTCAAACAACCAAAAAATATTGGTATTTTCAAATGATGACAAAAAATACTCAGTGGTTTTAATGTAACATGCATTGGTTTTAATTTTGTTTGTAACGTACACATGTCAAATAAAAGCAAACATGAATGCATTGCTTAGTAGCAAATGACCATGGTTTCAGTAACTACCGGTACGTTATGTTTCACAAGTGTTGCAATTGTTGATAACAGTGTTACCCAGTAGTGATTATGATAACAAACAAAAAATAAATTCATTGGATTGTTATGAATTGTATTAGTAAAATTCAAATTATTCGTAAGCGAATGGTCTCGACTATGATTTTCGAGTTGACCTGAAACTGTGTTCTTTGACCTAATAGGTCAAGCTGCTTATTAACCAATCAAAATGCTGGATGGTGACATGTGTTTAAATTACAATAGATCATTTAAATGTGTTAATGACAGTTCAGCGACATGACAAAGAAATTTACTGATTTTGTTATATGATCTTTTGGCATTGATCTTTTTCAAGAATCAAGAAATTAGTAGTTTTCAAGGAATAAACTGAGAATTTAAGAAAAATTTAACAACTTTTACAGTGATAACAGTTCATTGTTGAAACGGTTTACCTATTCACGCAAGTCACAATAAGAACAATCTAAATTAGACTAATTTATGCATCAGAAAAGGGAAAGAATAACCCTCACCCCTAACCTGAACCCTAACACTCTAGCCAATTCCTCTGACTCTGCTGCTTCGACAGGTTGTCCATACACTGAATTTATGTATATTATGTTTTCTGTTCTCGATTACTGTGAGATGTGAAATATTAAATGAAAAAATGCTTCATCTGTTGCAGTGAACAGTCTGTCACCTGGCACAGAATATATATTCAGGGTGGCGGCATATAATGATGATACAGTCAGTCCAAAGACTATTGGTATTGTGGTAAACACAAACGGAAATCCGCTGCCAGTGCCGTCAGATCTCAATGTCACTGGAACGGATTTTAATTCTGTATCACTATCATGGAAAATTAATCAAACTGGACAGTGGGTAAGTACGCTATTTAATTCACTGCTAGCAATTTTTGTAGTTTGATTGTATCTGTAAGAGCAATTTTTCTCAAAATTTACTGTTAACTTCATGTCTTAAAGATCCCGGTAAAATTTTCACTGCCACAATAAAATCATTCTAGCTCATAAAATTATATTATGAGGATATTACGAGAATACCGCAAAGTATGCATGAAGGCAGTATGGTGATGTGCAGCAGAGAACGATGCGCTCTTGTACTGCTTGGGTGCATACTTTGCATTATTTTTGTGATGACATTATTATTAGTCTCATAGATTGACCTCTGTGTGTTAGTGTGTCCGTGTGTCCTAGACATCTAGACATGTCTGGACTGATTACATTCAAACTTAACACATACATTATACATAATATTATACATATGCACATCAATATGGTTCTTGATCTGATTCAAGATGGCCAAATTTTTGTACTGAAAAAGCATCAAAATTAAGCATTTCTCAGCTGTTTACAGATGGATTTTGTTCAAACTTAGTACA